GATGGATGGATGGATGGATGGATGGATGGATGGATGGATGGATGGATAAAATGACACTGATTCTCGGCTTGCATTTCAGTGTATATCTTTAACGGGAAAAAGTACAGACATCACAAAAAATTGTGGTTATGATAAGAAAAAGAAAAAACAGGTACTTTAGCAACTTGAGTTTTCGTCTCATTGGCCACGGTCTGGTCCGGATATTAGCAATGATCTCCTTTTGGTACTGAATGTTCTGGAACATTTCCTCTGGGTCATTGCTGTCCATCCGTTCATCATCCTTACTTTCATCCTCTGAAGAGCTACCAACAAAACCAAAAACATGGTAAAAGTAATAAGAAAAATAAATAAATGAAAGCAAAAAAAGGCTAACTGTTCATTTTTACACAAAGAAATGTGAGAGCAGTTTATGTAAAAACAGACTCCTTTTAAATACAGTAAACAAGTCATTTGCATCACACTCATCACAGAATGTACCAGAATGGAAATGTTGTCAAAATATCAACAAAGAAACCCCCAGCACGTATTTCTAAATATCATAAATCATTACATTTTGTAAGTGATTAATTTAATTTTCTACAAAATGCATACTAAAACAGCCAGATGACTGCCAAAGACAGAAATCACACTTCCAAAAGCCCTGAAAAACAAAAAGCATTTAAAAAGAAATTACCATCACTTACCCCTGCTGGTGATCCTGGTAGGATGAATAAATCCTCCTGGAGTTTTTTCTGACACTCTTATGTCTCTTTGCAGATGAAGCAGACAAAGACCTACTGTTCCCAACCAAAGGCTCAGACACTATACTCATTCTGTGTGCATTCAATATATATATATATATATATATGAGTAACTAAGGGCTAAAGTCAAACTGTATGCAATTAACACTCTCAGCTCCTCAGTGCTACTCTGCTTGAGCATCAATGCTTGAGCTACCTGCTGTTGCTCAACACCAGTTAGCATAGACTTAAGCATGCTCACTCCAATCACAGCACACACTGACTGCTTAAAGGGACAGCAGCAGACCCTGACACACACACACATACAGAAAAATACACGCATGCAGACATGTGTGTGTATGCGTGTGCAAAGGTAGTATTGTCTAATTATTTATGGCATGTACAAGAAATTTTAAAAATGTCAACAAACCTTTTAATTTATTTTGTAAAATCATTTTCTGGTAAACAAAAAGAGAACCAGCGAGATGAGATAGGACGACGTAAATGTTTATCCAGTCATGACATAACTGCACACAGATTTTACAGTATAAGTGTCATGTGCCATGTGTTCAGTTGGCTCCGTACTCAGTTTTCACAAAGGCACAGTGGAAATTGATCATCAGAAGGATAACGGTAGACCTTGAAGACCTTCCAGATGTCTCTTGTTTAATTAGTGTGTCTTTGATTGGGCTCTAAGGAGTGCTAGATCCCATTTGGTTACATTTTCTACAATGACATTCTTCATTCTTCAACATTATTCAGAAAAAAGATTCAGTCCTGCAGGAACAGTCTTGTTTTGAGAAGAAAAAATTAAAAGTGTTTATTGCATATCACTTTTGTTGTGCAAATTTGCTGCAATTGCAGTGCAGCCAATATGATATGATAAATTTTGATTTTTTGGATTGTTTTATCGTTACAATCCTATCCCTTCCTGCTATACCAACCATGTCAGGGCTTTCCCGCATTTAAAAACATTAAAAGGAAGAAAAAGTTTAAAAAAATAAGATCCCTGTACAAAATAAAAAAAACCTTAGCAATTACAGTTTATTAAATTTCATTATTTTAGCTGGACCAAATTATTGTCCGGCTTTATTGTAAATCAAGCAGTATGTATTACAACCTTACTGTGAAATTGGCAAAAATCATTTTAGAGTGCAATTTATTTTTTAAAGTGATACCTGAGCCTTGCTTTTAGTCCCCTGAGAATGTCTAAAATAAAACTTCTGTGCCATTTCAACCAGCTGAAATTAGATTATGTTTATTGCTGCTGTTTCTGTGTTTTCAATGTAATATGAGAAGACAGATGCTTTTTATGTATTTTTCAATACATATCATGTACACGTATTTACAATATGCTTGAAGTACTTTGAATCAAATGAGCAAGAGATTACCACTTTTAAAAATGTTGCTTTTCTCAATTACTAACTACTTTTCTATTATTATGTAAGTATATTGAGACATAGCTTGTAAAATGTATTATATGTTTGCCTTGTTGATAATAGTATCCTTAGTAATACTAAGTAAACAGTAAAAAGTGGGTTTTACCCCAAAAAATCATTAAAAGTATACACAGATCAGCTAAGCAATGTAAAGTCCTAAAAGCAATCCAATAAATAAAATGCATCTTAACAAAAACAAACTGGCCAAACACACATAAAACAAAGATTACCAAAATAGTGGGTGATCAGACCTGTCTGACAAAAAATAAGAAAAGCAAATACTGACAAAGAACCAAAGTGCATTGAAGAACATTTTTAAAAATGAGCAGTTATAGCTGTGTGGCAATTATTGAATATGAAACATTTAAACATTAAAATGAACTTAAAAAGGTTATTCCCATGAATGTAACCACTTTTGGTACTGCCTAATAAGTATTTCAACCTGGAAAGACTCACACAGAAAAAATGGCAAGAGAGATTCATTGATAAATCAGAGTGCTTTCGCTTATTCCCTCACATTCACTCCTAAGGGCAATTTTTGTTTTATTTTATTTTATTTTATTTATTTATTTATTTTTGCCCCTTGTCGTGTTTGGCATTATGGCAACAGAATTGTAATCTGAGTGCCGTGCTGTGCCCGACACTTTTGCTTTGCCAAGGGAGGCCTGTCAGGGTGAGAACCCTCCCTTGATCATCCAATACTGCTTTATTATTTATTTAGGATTTATTTTTGTTACATAAGTAATATGGCTAATGCCAAACATGACCGGGGGACAGGAAAGGGGAAAAAAGAGATTCCTTAAACAGGAAGAGAGGAGAGAAAAAAAGGAAAGAGAGACAACAAAACCATCCATCCAGCTGCTGAAATCTGTAGATAGATGTCCTGTAGTCACCGAGGGCAAACCCGAGGGAGAACCTGCAAACAAACACTACGGGGAGACACACACAAACTAACAAACACAAACAGCAAAATAATACTGCAGACAAACCCGGGGGAGAACCTGTAGAAGCACCTGCAAGCAGACTCAAGGGAGAGACACACACAAACAGGCAGCATAAACTGAAGGCCGCTACGACACTGGTAATGACAGACAGGATATATTTCCAATTTTGTATGGCAACTGCACAGAAGCTCAAAGGTGTTTGTCTGGGCAAATGAGTTAGTGTGTGTGTGTGAGCCCCCACCCACCAGCATCCGAGGGGGCCAGGTCCCCCGGACAGCCCCATGCAGTGGGCCAGCACACACCCCAGCACCGCTGACCAGCTCAGTGCCCCGGGAGCCATGGTGTGCCCGCAGGATGGCGCAGTGGCGGGGGGAGGCGAGGGTGGCGCCCAGTCCTACGCCAGCAGCCGCACAGGCAGGCCCAGGGACAGTGGACCCAGAACCAGACCCAATCAAAACTCCAATCGGACACACACGAGACAAAACAAAAAACAAACAGGAAACAAACAGACAAACAAATAAACAAACAAACAAACAAACAAAACAAAACAAAATTCCAACCGCTACACACTTCCGCAGCCGCCCCCCCCAAAAAAAATCAACAATAAAAAATAAATGAATAAATAAAATATATATATATATGTATATGTATACATATAGAATAATAATAATAATAATAATAATAATAATAATAATAATAATAATAATAACATAAGTAAATAAATAAAGAGAAGAAAAACAAAATTAATTTGTGAAAATAGAAAAAAGGGGGGTAACTAATAAGGAAATAAAGAAATAGTTTGCCCCGCGGGTATGGCGGTGCGGACCACCCCGGGGCCAGCGGCCCCCTGGCCGCCCCGCCAGACGGGACCCATAGGCGCCCCCGGTCTCAGGGTCCTCCGTGTCTAACAAGTATTTAAAACAGCGGGCTGGGCGGGCCCGCGGGGCCAAAAAGCAAGGCCCCCTGAGCCCGAAGAGCCTCACTCCCCGACCTGGCCCAACACACCCAGCCCCCTGGGCCTATGTGTTAGTGTGGGTATGGTCAGATGTAATGTCAAGGGTGCCATTAAAACAAGAGGTGGGTGGTCCTGCAGGGCGGGGAAAAAAGAGCCTCCTAGGAGGCACCCTTAACTGCACCCGGCAGACACCCCCATGGTCCCGAATCCCTATGTGGTGAGTGCGTTCTGTGTGCTGGAGCCTGGGGGGAGAGGGGTAAGGGGGTGCAAACCGGGAGGAACACGGTCCCCCCGGAGAGGGCAGAGAAAAAATCAAATAAAATAAAATACAATAAAAATAATAATAATAAATATATATGTATATATACATACACATAAAAACGATAATAACATGAATAATAGTAATAATAATGGTAGTAATAAATAAACCATACAAATAATAAATAGGTTAAGGGGGTAACAACAAAATCAATGACAAAATAACAAAATTAATAAAGTGGTGGGTGGGGGGGCCTCACACACACACCCAAGCCAACTCAGTCGCAACAGTCAGGTCCTGGATCCACCGCCGCCCAGCCCCGCCCACGCAGCAACCGACGAAAGGACGCACATCGCCCCCCGGGGCAGAGAGGCCGCACTCGGACCCCAGGGCCCAGGCACCCAAGACCAGGCCCCACGCCCGAGGAGACTGGCTGCCCGGCCAGGGGCCGGAGGCCACCGCACAAGGCCCCCAGGGGACCCCACCCCACGCCGCAAGACAGCACCATCAGGGGACCCCCCAGGTAGAGGCCCAGTCACCGCCGCAGAGATCAACCCTTTCCCCACCACCCGAGAGACCGCCAGGATCCCAAGTCCTCAGGTCCCCCTAAACCCCCGTCTGACCGCCCAAAGCTAGAGGACGGCAATCCATCCCTTCTAAGTGATAAGGCTAATAAGCGGGGACCAGAGAGAGTGAGAATGATCCGAATGATGCGTTGAGTAGGCATTATTTCCAAGCTGATGTGATCTGAAAGATAATTCCGAAATTGATTAATATTAAGATTATTTTTCATTTTCCAGTTCATGAGAATGGTTTTCCTTGCGATGCACAACACCGTGAGGACCATTTGTGCTGACTTCCTATCTACATTGATTCCATTTAAATCACCCAGTACACACAATTTGGGGCATGCAGGAACACTAAACTTTAGCCATACTGATAATTCCTTACATACCTCCTGCCAGAACTTTGAACAGGTGCACAGAACCACAAAGCATGTGCATGATCATCCGGTCTGTTGTCCGAGCAGTGTGTGCAGATATTAGAAGGTGCAAGGCCCATCCGGAACATCCTTTTGTCCTGTATAGTGTGTTCTATGAATAATTTTGTATTGCATAAGCTGTAAATTGGTATTTGTAGTCATACTGAAGATGTTTGACCATATTTGTGGCCAAAAATGATTGTCAGTAGTGAATGATAGGTCTGCTTCCCACTTTAATGATCGTAGAGAGATTGTGTCATCTGTCTTTGACAGTAATTTATACATTTTGGATATTAATTTTGGGGTGCAGATATTTAGGTATTCTGCTAAGTTGCAAGTCCAGCTGGCGGACAACATATCTCTTAGTTATCACGGATTTGAGTTGATGGTATTCAAAAAATGAACTGCTACTAAGCCCATATTGAGATATTAACTCATCGAATTGGATGAAGTTTTGTCTCTGAGTGTTTAGTTTGGTCCCTCTGGCTAGACCAGGGAGTGTTCCAACAAGTT